TCGACCGATCTGAACCTCCACTCGTTGCTGGGGTTGAACATTCTTCACCTGCTCTTGTTGAAAAAATGGCTCAGATTGATACGTTCGAAACGGAACACATTATCGATCAACAGGACAATCAAGAGGTCAAGCACAAGGGGAAAAATGTTCTTCTAAGCACAAAGTTGACTCTTCAGAAAACCTAACTGATAAACGGCCGCGCATTAAGGAGTCAGGCCTGGTTGTGCCATTTATCATACAACCAAGGATAAAGAACGTGTTGGTTGCTTCTGATGCATCAACTGTGAAAGACACTGCTGTGGCCTTCAGCATGGCCTCTTTTATTTCTCTGCCGGTTGACAGAGCAACCTTTCGCGCTGAGCCGGACTTGCTGTCCATAGCTTTAGCTGCTCAATCAGCGATATTAGTATATGACTTGAGCCTTGTTTGCAGTCTTGCGTTTGTATTATTTTTTATTTTTTTATTATTATTTATTTTTTTAATTAATTATTTTATTTTATTTTATTTTTTATGCCAGCTATCTTACTAATTCCTTGCTTTGTAGGTGGCGGGCATGAGATTGGCCGTCGTCAACATGACGCTATCGAACAAATCGGATTTCTCACAGCCGAAGTTGAAAATGAAAAAAGCAAGGCTACGGAGGCCTCTCTCAGAGCCGAGTCCGAGGCTATGAAAGCGGCGGAAGAACGAGCTTGGGCTGATGCCGAAGTAAAAAAAGCCAAGAGTTCCGACCAACTCAGGTTGGCCGCCGAAGAGAGGGTGAACGCGAGCGATGACGCAGTCAAGTTAGCCAAGGAGGTGATTGCCAAACTGGAGGTTGATTTGGAAGAATCGAAGAAAGCAAAAGAAACTGCCGACTCCGAGATTTCCAAGGCATTCCAAGTCGGAAAGGACGCCGCCTTAGAAAATTACGTGGTGGAAGTACCTAAGTTTAAGAATCGGGGCTTCAAACATGGCTTGCTCAAAGCCCTCACTGCCGCTAATGTGACATTGGAATAGCCGATTCTATACGAGTAGATAGACGTTGAGCCACTGGAGTCTGAGACCAGAGGTCCAAGTCCAAACATGCGGGTCTAGAACGAGAGGTACATGACTAGAATACCAAGTCTAGAGGTCTAGGGGTCCAAGACAAAAGGCCAGGTTCAGAAGGCATGGCCCTCAAGGGCAGACTTGCTCAAAGCTTAGTCCTTACTTTAAGGGCCAATCACTTCTAGAAATCAACGATAGTGGAACATGATCCCACAAAAAGTGAACTGAATGTATGGAGTGGCAGGGGAAGTGGAACCAACTCCAACAACCATACTAAGTGAGGAAAAATGTAAACAAACAATTAACACCACTTTGGGATGCTCCTACTTTTATATTTTCTTACTCCATAGTTTTTTAGATTACTAACTTAAGCATAGGACAGTTCCCTGGCTGCCCATCGGCCGAGTTCTTCATATTTTCTTAAGTGTTTCAGTCTAAATTCCGCCGTGTTCATGCTGAAGTGCCACTACAACAAAGGTGGTTCAATTTTTACCCCCATATATATAATTAATTAAAAATATATTTTTTTTAAACACGACACATGTATTTTTTGACGTAACATAAAAATATGTGTATTTTTTTAAATGATTATCACATTTTATCCTTTTTATGTTTGACTATATTTTTTTTTTATCTCTTTGGTCGTTCATGTTTCAATTTTTTTGTTCAATTTAATCCTAAAACTAACTTTGTCCAAAATTAGATAGAAAATGTCACATTAATTGCCACATCATAAAAAAAAATATATTATTATATTGAAATTTGGGTTTGGTTTAGTTATTTAAGTTATATATAATAAAATATTTTTATGCCACATAGATGTCAATGTGTCATTTTTTTTGGAGAACTACATGCAGGTGAGAATTGGAAAAAAAAATTACAAACACATGGGAGTGCAAGTGTGTTTGTGGTGAGGTACAAATGAGAGGTTGTGAGGGTGTAAGTGTCACTCGCACCCTTTCATGTGTTGGTAATTTTTTTTCCCAACTCTCACCTGTATGTAGTTCTCCCTTTTTTTTTTTTGGTTCAATTTATACATAAGTTAGCTTTTGGAGTTAGTTGAGAAAAAATTAAAACATAAAAGGTCAAAGTGAGAAGAAAAAAAAATAACTTGAAAGGCTAAAGTGAAAAAAAATAACCAAATATATAAAAGGGGCAAATTAAATTTTCTTTTTTGTAAATTTCACTATACTTGTGCCATGCGATTTTTTTTTTTTTTTTTTTTTGGGCCGAAATTTTTTCAATATGCCACTAGTTTTTAAAAATAAAAATAATTTTTTTTGGAAGTAAATATCTTTAAATTTTGAAATTATATATATGATTAAAGTTTCATTTGTAATTTCCTTTTAAAAAATTTTAAATTTAAGTTAAATTGGACTAAATTTTTTTGAATAAAGATTGAGAGTTCTAATTTTGGAACTCTAAAGAGAGTTTTAATGATGTAGCAAAGAGTGAGACCCACATGTGATGTGATGTGTGTGTTTATGTTTTTTTTTTAACAATGATTCATACCACTAAAAAAAGACGACTAATAGCACTAATGCATTGCGAATGCCAAAAAAAAAAAAGACATAGGCAATGGGCGGGGCCCACTGCAACATCATTAGTGATGCTATTAGAGCACCACTTTTGGTGCTCTCAACCTTTTTTTTTTTTTTTTTTTTTTCCCCTCTTTCTACATTTCTAGAACTCTTTTTAGAGCTCTATTGAATTTATTTTTTTTTTTGACTTTCTATATTAAGATTTTTGAATTTTAAAATCATAGATATGGTTAGAAAAATCAATGTTTCTATTTTTTTATTTAAAATTTTTTAAATTATAGGAAAATTTTCAAAAAAAGTAAAAAGAAGAAAAATGATATTGAACTCATGAAAATATAAATGATGTATACACTAAATTTGACAAAAATAAACAACGTAGATTATATATTTTCATTTTTAAAAAGTGATAAAATCATTTTTTTATTTATATACTAACAAATTTTTAATAAAAAAATTAAATATTATATGAATTCAAATATTAAACAACTTAATATAGTTATATTAATGTACCTTTTTAAAAATTCAAGGGACGTGTGTAATTTTAGTCAAACACATATATTTATATAAAAAAATGTTTAGAAGCATTAAAAATAAATTACTAGAGGAAGCATTAATGATGTGACAGTGAGTCTCGCTTATTTTTATGCCTTTTTATCATTCTTAATATATTAATATTATTAATAATATATTTTTTAATAATCTAAATCATTGTTGTATTTATATATACAAGTACGTGGAGAGGTCCTTGGCAAGGCCAAACTTACGTGGAGAACAAACATCCAAAGACTATACCTCGTGGACATCCCTCCTTCCTCTGTCCCACCACGTCTTCCCACAAACGACAACACATCACCGATTAACAATAGCTGTCACTTTCTACAAGAACTACGAGTTGAGATCCTCTTGTTGTAGCTCTCGTTGTCTTTTTATTTAGGTAATGTTACTTGTTATGAAATAAATATCATGAAAAATTTCATGAAACTAATTCAATGGTGAATGCATAATATACAATAAAACACTACAAATACTATAATCTAATCCAAGGGTGGAGAATCTTCATGAAAACTTTTCATGACATTGTTTTCATGATACCTAGCATTATTATTTTATTTAAGACAAATTACATATACCTCTTTCCAAATTTAACTAAATTATAGATATTTTTTAAAGTTTTGGAAATTATAAATACTTTCTAAAATTTATATTTTCATAATAAATTATCCCTTGAAATTTATATTTTCATAACAATTTGTCTCATAATTTGTTATGCAAATAGTACCTTCAGGGGTATCTGTAATTTCTCAAATCTCAAGGAATATCTGTAATTTTACTAAATCTTAAGGGAGTATATGTAATTTGCCCTTTTATTTATAATGATAGAGGTGTAATTTAAATTAATCCAACGGTTCAAATTTAATTATTTAAAAATATAAAAAAAATAATACAAATTTAAATTTTATTTTTCTGCCCAAATCTAGATAGTTTGACCAATTCAAAATATAATTTCATCGTTACAAGTAGGAAGGCCAGAAAATAGCTGAAGCAGAGAATCTTAACTCCAGAAGAGCCCCCGTTTTGAACACTGCAGACGACGTCATCACTCACTTGGTCCAGAAATTATCCAATAGATCATAAGTACTTGTTAATGTATCTAACTGAGATATTACTCTTTGTCTACTATTTCTTTATTATTATAATTATATATTTATTTAATTCTTTTTTATTAATTGAACACACAATTGTATATTTGTTTAATCCTTTATTATTGATTTAGGTCTCATTTGACAGCATGCATTTTTAATTATTTTTTAATTTTTTAATTAAAATATGATGTAAAAAAATTAGTATGTTTGTGATGACTTTTTAATTTTTTTACGAAAAAATATACAAAAAGTATAAAAAAATTTTTTTTTTCACTTTTTTGTATAGGTTATTGGCTTTTTGATTTTTTAGTGACTTTTTGATTTTTAAGCCTCGTTTGGAAACAAGTTATTTTAGTAACTTTTTGATTTTTTAGCTAAAATATGAAATAAAAAAACTAGTATGTTTGAGATGAATTTTTGATTTTTTACGAAAATATGTGTAAAAAGTAAAAAAAAAAAAATTTATTTTTTAATATAAATTATTGACTTTTTAATTTTTTGATGACTTTTTAACTTCTTGATTAAAATCATCATTTGTCAAACGATGCCTTAGGCTAAAAAAAAATGTTGCTAAACCAGCCTTAGTACACAACTAACTACTGTGAAATTCATGAAACATAGTATAATTGCTTCACTCGGTGCCTTAACGTACTGTGGTTGCTTCACTCAGTGCCTTTCTATCTTCACTATCTCTAGATATACACATCTCATTCTTGAGTCCGTGAGTGCAGTATTGTATACACTATTGATCTCTAGAAACCTAAAAGAGAAGAGAAGAGAGTGAAAAATGGAATTGGCATTGAGTGAGGTGGGGTTGAATGCCCAAATGATAGCTGCAATTCACGACATGCTGGAGTTCTCCGAAGAGCCGGAGAAGCCACAGCAGCATTATCAGCCGTCACGCGCATACTTTCGCGACACGAAGGCGATGCGGGTGACGACCGCGGACATCCTGGAGTACCCGAACAGCTACGTGTTCGTGGTCGACATGCCCGGGGTGAAGCCGGACCAGATCCAGGTGCAATTGCAGGACGGCAACATACTCATGGTGAGCGGCGAGCGGAGGAGAGAGAAAGAACACAAGGATGATGGCGTGAAGTATATCAAGATGGAGAGGAGGCTCGGAAAGTTCATGAAGAGGTTTGAATTGCCTGAGAATGCCGATACCGATTCCATCTCTGCTTACTATCATGACGGTGTGCTTACTATAACTGTCCAGAAACAGCCTCCGCCCGAGCCCAAGAAGGCCAAGACCATTCAGATCAAGGTTGGTTCCGGAGGACAGGCTCAGGCTCAGGCTCAGGATGGTGGTGGTTCGCTTGAATCCTCAGGAGCTCAGAGCGATGGCACTGGAGAAACCCAAGGTTGTCAAGGTTAAGAATCAAGATTGCTCTTTTTCTTATGTCTATTTCCTTTTTATTTTTTGTTTTTTGGGTCTTGCTTTTGTGGACGTGAGGAGGTTCTAATAAATAGTTTGCGTTCGTGTCCGTCAAGCGTCTATATACAAGTGTAAGTGTAAGTGTATATACAAGTGTAAGTCTAAGTGTGTGTGTTTGTGTGTGTTTTTGACTGTTTTGGGTTGATTCCTTTTGCGAACAACCTTCTTGTTATCTGTCCAACAATGAATAAACCGTTTCTTCCTCTGTGTAGTGTATGTGTATGTTTCTCATGGTAGCTTTCTTGATTGATTTTTTTTTTTTTTTTTTTGTTTTTTTATTTTTTTCAAAAAATTTTTTTTTTTTTTTGAAGTTTTTTAATTTTTTTTTTTTTTTGCAAAAAAAAATAAAAAAAAAAAAAAAATTGTTTATTTATTTAGCTGTCAATTTGGTTGCTGGAGAAAAACCTGCTGATGTTTACTCAGGAATAGCTGCTAGGTAAGTAGCTTTTTCACAATGCAATAGTTATGAGCATTATCAATTTCTCTTTTCTACATGGATTCTTTCCAAACCTCTTCCTTTTGTAAGCTTCTCTTTATTGGTAATTCTGTGCCTGATTGGCCCAGTTCTTATGTAGGCAGTTTCTAGAAGAGCCACCTTTCATGAAACAATTAGAGACTATGAACAAGCAGCCAGTGACCTTCATAGACTGATCTCTCTTCTTGAAAAGCAATCACAAGAAAAGGTTCAACAGTGTGGCTCTGGCGGCAATGTTAAAAAATTAAGACAAGCTCGTCGTCACGTATCCTCAGTGGAAGAAAAGGCTAAAAATGGAATCTCCTTGGATCATTACCTCATTTTGTAAGTCCTCTGCATTTGTGTTTCCTTATGATATATTTTATTTCCATGGACTTGGATTTCTGTTATGGAACTTGATTTATTACATAGATTTTGATTGCATATTGATATTTTGTATTTTTATTTTTATTTTTGTAGTTTACGTTAAGTTGTGACTGATCTATCTACATTTTGCATATTTGATTTTCACGCACTTTTTGATGAATTTTAGCATTTTGGAATCTAGCTTGAAAAGTTCCTTATTCTGCCCCATTATTTAAGTTTATCTTTTCATTCATTTTCAGATCATATTTTAATGCGTGTTAATTGCAAATGATGTTTGGTGTTGGAAAGATGTTACAAACAAAATATATAAGCACATGTTTCATAATCAACCATTTCTTTGTAAGTTTTTTATTGAAATAAAAAAGAAATCTAGTAATTAACTCATGTTTTTTGGCTTGAGTGTCAGGTGTCACTACAAGAAAAGTAGCATATAACCACGCTTTTGTAATGGCGTTTTTTTAAAAAACGTCGTTTTAAAGATTTTCAAAATATTTTTGTAAATAACTCATTTTAAAAAACACGCGTGCTTTTGGTGTACGAACATATTTTCCCTTTTAAGACCCACGCGTTTTTCATTCTTCTATTCTATTTCACGCAGCAATTGATAGATCTAGGTTTTCTATCTCTTCATCACTCCTCTTTCTTATGGTGAAAGGTCACTAGATCGAGCTTCGTAGGCTCCGATTCACGATCTGGTTCTCTCCATCTTGGCTCAAAGCTCTGAATCAGTCCGATTTGAAGATTAATTTTGTGAGTCCTCTGATTTTTCATTTTGTTTATATACAAACTTAGATCTACGATCTCAAATCTGTTTTATATATATATATACTAATTTATGTCTATTGATCGCGATTGATTTTTATTCTATTGATCGATTTTTAGGCAAATCTCGATTGATTGATTTTTAATTTATTGATCGTGATCGAACACTCTTCTCTGGATTTGATCGATTGATTGCTTTCGTTCAGATCTGTAAGTTTGAGTCCCTATGCGCATATTAACATCCTCAAACCGACTCTATTTCTGACTCGTTCGTGGTGATCTTTGCGTTTGTGCTTTGTATGCAATTCTAGGGTTAGTCTATTGAGGCTAATCTCTATTGCGTTTGTGTACAGAGTCACATAACCACCATCACAACCATACTGTGTCAATCTTTGCAGCAGCAATGTCTCTCTTCCTCACAATGGGTTTTGTGCACTGCAGATACCTGATTTCCACTCTGGTGAGTCTTCTTTGATTCCCTCCTTCCTTACCTTGCTTATGATCTGTCTGGCCCTGTCGTTTATGCATTTGGATTTTTCTGCTACTTTCCATAAATTTTAATGTCTTCAAAAGCCATGTATCTGTGTGTTTGCTTATATGTGCATCAAAATTTTATTGGATTTTATCTGATGGACCCGCAGAGTACGTAGAGTGACTAAAATTTAAGTTTATGTTCTGCAGCTCCAATAACAAATAGGAGGAAAACCTTGGAAGAGGTAGAAAGATAGGCTAAAATTTGAGTTTATGATAGGCCAAAATTATTGACAAAATTATTGTTAAGATGATGGGTAGAAAGATTTACTTATCCTGTCTGCTGTAGTTATATAAATAGAATCAGATGATGGTTTGAGTTGGGACCAATTTAAAATTCAGTCTGTCTATTGGTTAATTTGGGTATTGACTTAAATTTGATTTTTTCCAACAGTGACCTCTCCGGAATATTACATAAGCTTTCCCCAAAAATTTGAAGCTTTTTATTCTCAAACATAGTTTTTGCTTTTGAATTTATTTGCATACTCATCTTAAAAGTCTCTGCTTATAATTGCATTTCAATATTTCCATTTTATCCACATGGTGACCCTTTTCCTGAGCACCAAGGATCCTCTAGAGTGTTTTTTTCCTAAAGTTTCCTAAAGTGGTGTATTGTGTGGTTAAGATTTAATGCTAAAAAATTGATGTGACTTGTCATTAAATCTCAACCACACAATGCACCACTCTAGGAAACTTTAGGAAAAAAAAACTCTAGAGGATCCTTGCTCTGAGATTTCTGTAGTTTTATTATTGCATCCACTTGAACTTTTAAATTTTATTTTTTGTTTTGTTTGTGTATTATTTATATCGTTCAAATATCGACCCGTTTGACATTTTAAAATAACAATACCACCTTTAGCATGGGTTAGTGATATCTGATTTATTTTTGTTATGTCATCATAGTTCTGATGAAGGTCTACCTGTATCTGGTGATGAATCAATGCATGAAATTCTGCAGAAAGCTTTGTTGAGGACAATTCATGATATCGATACAAAATTTTCACTGGCAAGTATTCAGTCTTTACATTTTTCTTTCTCACAACAAGTGTTTCTCATTAGTTTGTTGCGATCATCCTACATTCCTAGGAAGCTTTCAATAACAGATATATTTCTGGATCCACGGCCACCATCGTTCTCTTGGTGGATGGTCAAATTTTAGTTGCTAGTGTTGATGATTCAAAAGCACTCCTGTGCTCGGAGAAAATCAAGTCTGCTTTGGGGGATGAAGGTCTGATTCTTCCCATTATTATCAAGTCCCTTTGTGGTTGGACTCACATTCACTAGGCACTGCTAGATTAAAAAAATACACTTGTCTTGCATGTTATTAGCATATGATAACTAATCTACATGTATACCCATAATTAGAAGTCTTATTTCAAGCCATTTGGACATAACAGGTGCTTCAATAACAGTGCTTGATGTGGAAGAACTGACAAGAGGTCATCATCCAGATAGAGATGATGAGAGAGCCCGAATAGAAGCTGCTGGTGGGTTTGTACGTTTGTGGGGTGTGCCTCGTGTCAATGGTATCTTAGCTGTATCCCGATCTATTGGTGATGTGCACTTAAAAAGGTGAATTTTCGGAAGCTAAAGTTAGCTTAGGTTGCTCATCTTTTTCCTCTTCACTTTTTTATGTTTTGCTGTTAGTTCTGCTCTTTAGCCATCATCCTATGGTAATGATGAGAATTATGTAATTTTCAAATAGTTTTGGTGAGCCCATTGCCGATCTCTGATATTATCATTCTCTGTCAAACGTGTGAACTTTGCACTGATCATTATTACATGGCTGATATAACTAGGGATGAGACGTTTTTTCACAGTTTATTTTGTTTTTAACTGTCAGATATGGTGTTAGTCTCGTGCCTGAAGTGATAGGTTGGCTGCATTTAACTGCCAATGATTGCTATTTGGTTGTTGCATCTGATGGCATCTTCGAGAGTTTGAAACCACAAAAAGTTTGTGATCTTTTATGGGATGCAAATGTCCAAGTAAATGAAATGTCCAAAAGCTCATGTTCATGTTCATGTTCATCCTCTTCCTCATTGGCTGACCGCATTGTCAACAAAGCGTTCAAGAAAGGCAGTAGGGACAACTTGTCAGCTGTTGTAATTCCACTGAATTTTACTGGTTTTCCCCAAGAACCCGCTGGACAGAATTTGTGATTTTGGAAAATCAACCATTTTAGCCTTTCAAAAGGCATCTGCAATCAGATCGATATTCTTCAAGTTTCTACTTCGACAAACAGAGCATGTTTTTCATTTGCTCTGAAACTCATTTGAGATAGGATTGATAACTTTTGAAAGTTAAGAGTTTTAGAGTTTTCATGTACTATTGAGGTTTTGGAGTGTTTTTCTTTTATATATTTTTTATAATCGCTACATTGTGGGTAGAATACTACCATGCTATGTTTGGGACCTAGGATTTGTTCAAGGGAAAGGAAAAGAAATTTTTTTGTCAATACATTTGATTGTAGAATAATGATGATGTACTCGTGAATGTCTAGTTTAACATACTTCGCATAATATTTGTAATTTTTGTAGCTCATCTCGTGTCGATTGATAATAAAAATAAAATAAAATCCAATTCAACCAATTAGTATATTGTCATTACTGTACAATATCCTAAGCAAAGCAAAGCTAAAGACTGAATGCTTCGTCATTGCTGCTTCTATTTTGCAGGTTCTTATACAGAAGACCAGCCGACTTCAATGGAACCACAATGGCTGACAAGTTATCCATGCTGCCTTCTTCAAAGGCAGTCTTTACTATGCATTCGGCTGATGGATAATCGCAAGAAGGGAATAGCTTCAACATTTCATAACCTTTGGAATGCCTCACGGTTAGCTTTTCGTATATTCCCTCAGATGAAACCACTAAGTAGCTGTCGTTTCTGGTTAACTTTTAAGATGAGAGCTTATTACATAAACTTTTAAGATGAGAGCTTATTGTAATGTGTTTCTGCTTGTTCAGACTTAAATTACGAATCTCTTCAAATTGTGTAATGTATAAAGCATCATAATAGATTATATTAAGCTAGTACTTTCTTTAATACTACATAAGCAAGAGTTAAACAAGCCTCTCTTCTGCAGCAGAAATGAGACCAGCCGTCAAAGCAACACCACCAAACTAAAACAAATAACAGTATCATTAATTCTATGCCAAAACTAGTATATGTAAAGTAGTACTCTGCGCAATTTACACAAACTCTGAAACTAACCAGTTGTATGCTACAAAATAATTTTCTTTGGAGGTCTATACGCCCTGTCAATAGAGAACCAAACAGATAAGTCTTGATGTAAATCTTCCCCTATGAGAGCATATCACTTTTGAAAGCAATCTACCTGTTGAAAGAATGCTCTTTGTGATAGCTTCTGCAAGGCCAATGCAATCTTCTTTCTTTGGTTTAGTTTGAAAAAATGAGTAGCTGTCCCACATTGGGAACCCACCATTAATGCTGGAATACAAACCATCTGACATATCACTTCTTCTTGGAAATTCCATATGCCATGTGTCTTCCAGCATATCTTCTTTCCTTCATTTTCAGGGGGTTTGCTGTCAAGACCGACCTTTCAACCATTCAAAGTTCTCTTTTTTGTTCTCATGTAAAAAAACCTTTCATTTGTGTTTTGAACTTTATCTCAAATCAAGATTCAAGAATCATTTTTGCATCACAGCCAACCATGTCTAGTTTGTTCCCCCAGAATTCAAGTTTCTCACCTGTAAGAACTGCTTCTCCACATATAAGGACCAACCCAGATGTTGATAGGTATATTATACGACCCTTTTCGATTCGATTTCGATTCTAATGATTGGGTAGTTTTTGATGAGTTTATAGCTTTGGTTGAATTGGGTTTTATATGTTTTTGGGTATTCTTAATTTCTTGTAGTCAATACGTGGCATAGCTCTTAGCAAAGCACCAGAAGCTTGAACCTTTCATGCAAGTCGTTCCCATATGCAGCCGACTGTTGAATCAAGGTTGGCAATTACCTTTGGTTTTGGATCTTGTCTTTCTATGCTTCTATTGGGTTATCTTGTTTTTTGACTAATTTCTATAATGGTTCTGTTATATTATGAGAGAGAGAGTGAGAGAGAGAGAGAGAGAGAGAGAGAGAGGATTGGGATTGTGCATAAACCAAATTGGCTTCCAATTGGTTTTCTTGTTTTCAACTTTTTTCCAGTTGAAATTTGAAGGGATATTAATTTAAATTAAGGTTATGATTTGTGTTGCATATGTATTTAGAATTAGAGATTCTTGAATATTTATCAAAAAAAAAAAAAGAGAAAATAATTAGAGATTCTTGAAGGGTGTTTGTGTAATGGCTTAACAAATTTTGGTATTTGGTGTTTCTATGTTTTGTTGATCTTAACGAGCATGAATCGATTGACACGATCCCTGGAATAGTAGGAACCCATTGGAAAATATCGTGGGGGCATGACGATTACATGTATTTGGCATGTGCCTCAGTTTCACCCCTTTAGAAAATATTTAAGTATTTAGTCAAATTTCGATCTTTAATGCTATAAAAACAGGTTGTTAATGTAATTTGGATTTTCATTTTTTAGGTGGCTAAGGAAAATGGAACGACTTTGCCTCTAGCTGCATTGTTCATCATCCGATATCACTCTTTTTCACTTTTCATTTTTCTACTGGATTGTTGACGATGAGCTTTTCTGTAGATATTATACTCTCTCTATTTAATGTTTTTGCCCAAGATAAAACATACAAAGGTAGAATGATGTTGGGATTGAACTTATTGGATTTTTTTTCTTAAAGGATGTTGTATTGGGTACTATTATAGATGTGAGGGAATAGTAATCTCACAGAAATATATGTCTGTACAAAGTTTTATTCATTATTGTTATTTTACAAGTATATTTTTAAAGTTAAATCTTACAAAATTAGTAGTTTAAAAAAAAAAAAAAAAATCTATTGCGGCGTTTTTCAAAACGCAACTATAGTTATGTTTTCAAAATAACAAAAAAGTTATTACGACGTTTTTGAAGCGTCGCTGAATGACTGTGACGTCATGTCATATTTAGCGGCGTTTTTATAAACGCCGCATATATTAATTTTACGACGTTTTTAAAGCGTCATAAACTTATAGCGACGGCCGTGTCCTCGGCGTTTGGTGGTAAGCGTCACTAAAGGAATTAGCGGCGTTTTTCATACATATAGCGAGTGTTTTTGATTTTTTAACTAAAATATGAAGTAAAAAAACTAGTATATTTGAGATGAATTTTTGATTTTTTATGAAAATATGTGTAAAAAGTAAAGAATTTTTTTTTTTTTTGACTTTTTAATATAAATTGTTGACTTTTTAATTTTTTGATGACTTTTTAACTTTTTGATTAAAATCATCATTTGTCAAACGATGCCTTAGGCTAAAAAAAAATGTTGCTAAACCAGCCTTAGTACACAACTAACTACTGTGAAATTCATGAAACATAGTATAATTGCTTCACTCGGTGCCTTAACGTACTGTGGTTGCTTCACTCAGTGCCTTTCTATCTTCACTATCTCTAGATATACACATCTCATTCTTGAGTCCGTGAGTGCAGTATTGTATACACTATTGATCTCTAGAAACCTAAAAGAGAAGAGAAGAGAGTGAAAAATGGAATTGGCATTGAGTGAGGTGGGGTTGAATGCCCAAATGATAGCTGCAATTCACGACATGCTGGAGTTCTCCGAAGAGCCGGAGAAGCCACAGCAGCATTATCAGCCGTCACGCGCATACTTTCGCGACACGAAGGCGATGCGGGTGACGACTGCGGACATCCTGGAGTACCCGAACAGCTACGTGTTCGTGGTCGACATGCCCGGGGTGAAGCCGGACCAGATCCAGGTGCAATTGCAGGACGGCAACATACTCATGGTGAGCGGCGAGCGGAGGAGAGAGAAAGAACACAAGGATGATGGCGTGAAGTATATCAAGATGGAGAGGAGGCTCGGAAAGTTCATGAAGAGGTTTGAATTGCCTGAGAATGCCGATACCGATTCCATCTCTGCTTACTATCATGACGGTGTGCTTACTATAACTGTCCAGAAACAGCCTCCGCCCGAGCCCAAGAAGGCCAAGACCATTCAGATCAAGGTTGGTTCCGGAGGACAGGCTCAGGCTCAGGCTCAGGATGGTGGTGGTTCGCTTGAATCCTCAGGAGCTCAGAGCGATGGCACGGGAGAAACCCAAGGTTGTCAAGGTTAAGAATCAAGATTGCTCTTTTTCTTATGTCTATTTCCTTTTTATTTTTTGTTTTTTGGGTCTTGCTTTTGTGGACGTGAGGAGGTTCTAATAAATAGTTTGCGTTCGTGTCCGTCAAGCGTCTATATACAAGTGTAAGTGTAAGTGTATATACAAGTGTAAGTCTAAGTGTGTGTGTTTGTGTGTGTTTTTGACTGTTTTTGACTGTTTTGGGTTGATTCCTTTTGCGAACAACCTTCTTGTTATCTGTCCAACAATGAATAAACCGTTTCTTCCTCTGTGTAGTGTATGTGTATGTTTCTCATGGTAGCTTTCTTGATTGATTTTTTTTTTTTTTTTTTTTTTGATATTTTATCAATAAATTTTTTTTTTTTTAATGATAAAAAATGGTTTTTGGGCGGGCTTTTCAGTTTCATGATTTAAACCTTTTCTTTTCAGGCATTTTTATTAACATAATATTTAATTTATCTCAATAATTGTGTTTTTAAAAATATATTATTTATTTTTTTATGTGATAAACACATAATAAATTGAATAGGTTGAATAAACACGTAATAAATTTAAATTGAATAGGTTGAATAGGTTAGGTTATGATCAGGGATGGACTCAGGAATTCATTTACGGATTCAAGACATAAATAAATTTTTTTATATGAATTAAAATAAATTACTATTTTTTTTGAATTCAAAAGATAAATTAGAATTTAATATTAAATTAGTATGTAAAAAATAAAACAACTATATATTTAGTGAATTTAATATATGAATAAAAGTAAAGTTATGTATTAAATAATTATTTATACAAATCAACTCAATCATCCATCAAAATGGAATTCGACGTTCTTTCATATCTCAAAAGTCTTTAATGATTGACTCTGCGGTAAAATTTTCAACAATTTTCTTTTCAATGTACACAAGCAAAGAGTTCGTAAGAAATTCATTTTCCATTTTGTTGCGAAGTCTAGTTTTGACAATTTTCATGGCTGAAAATGATCCCTCCGTAGTTGCAGTAGAAACTGGAAGAGTAAGAACAAATGTAATCACTCTATAAACAAGTTGATAGACCGTAGATTTGTTTGTCCTTGCCAACCACAGACACAATTCAAAAACAGTAGACAACCTTTTGTAGTCCGCATGCTGAACTAAATTATGCTCACAATGGTAAAGTTGCATTCTTAACTGTATTTTCTCTTGATCCGTGAAGTCTTGCAGATAAAACTTTTCTACTAACTAACAAATATCATCGATTCTAAAAGTTTCAAACACTCTCAAGGATCTAAAGCTGAGCTAAGATTAAGTAACTCTATTGCATGTTCACTAAACCGCACATTTAATTATTGTAGTTGAGAATCTATTGCAGCATAAAAAATATCTACTCGATAGTAATGCTCAACTGTAAAATCATCTTGATGACCATGAGCTCGACCTCTTCTCCTAATATAACGAGCATTCATATTCGAGACATCTATGTTATGTACCTCACAAAATGATTTCACATTGGCTAGTAAAGCATCCCATTTGTCATCTCTAAAGTTTTGCAGAAGTGCCTTGGTGGATGAAACTAGATTCATAGCATTTAAGATGTCTTGAGATCTGCATTGCAAAGCTTAACAAAGTAAATCAGTGATCTCCAACATTTCTTTCATGAGATGCAAAATAAAGACAAATTCAAATGAAGTCAATATTTCATAAACTGAGTCAGCA